ACGGCGTTGGAGAAGAGACTGGGTAGAGTTCTCCAGATCCGCTGCCGCTAACCGTCATGCATGAAGAGGTACCGTCCATGACATCACCGAGGCTGGCTAGATCAGGCATGATCACAGCCATAACAAGTAGGTAGGTAAGTAAGACTCCAACTGCCGGACTGCATGAAAATTGTACGACAGATAGTCATGCATTGATAGGATTGTTTTATTAAATGTCAGCATTCTTCCGTAATTTTTCTGCCACCCAATACTTGCGACTAATTAATATAAATACTATGTTATAGGCAGTGCCCTGGCCTAAACTCTATCGAATCGTGGAATAAAGAGGGTTTCGTATTCTCACTTACGCGACTAAATGAAGCAGCCTGCCATGCCTGATTTGATGCATACTGACTTGTCTATTTTACCACCCTCTACAGCACTATCTTGCCCCGAAGCAGGACCTCGCAGCGGCCTTGAAGGAGGCCAGCATCTCAGCTTCTTTCTTCCGCACCCTCTTTCATGGACAGTCCCTGTGCTACCGCAGTGAGCCTACCGAAGAGGTACTGGAGGATTAATCACTCCACCTGCTTCCTGGGTGGAGATTCCTGATTCCAGAGTTTAACAGAACAGATTCGTGCTGGGATGCGCCATCGCCACAGTACAATTTTGCCTTTCCAACTCCCTTGCCTACCGAATACTTTATGTTCTGCTCACTCAGTGTTTTCCCAACCGTTCTACGACTTTGTTTTAGACTTTGTGCTGATTTTATATGCTAGGTCACGTCTTCTTCAATTTCCCTTATCTCGTTAGTCAACAACGGAGAGGGGGTATTTTACTATAAATACGTATTATATGAAAGCAGTGATCTTCAGAAGGAGTTATTATGAAAAACTATGGAGTCATCGAGTTTTTTGCTTCAATAGTCGGATTCTAAATGGCAGGGGTTATTGACTGTGCATCGTCGGAAACTGTGCTCTCTGACAATGACTATTCCTTCCGAAAGTGGCAATCTTCGTTCGTTGACGACTTTGCGGTGCAATGCCATTGCCGCGATATATCAACCTGGGAATACTTATCAATAGTATGAGTCAGGGAATTGAGATGCCCTTTTTAAATAAACACAATTAGCTCATAGGTAGTGGGTTGTTAACTCTACTTCATTATCGGATAAACTTTCGGGCTCATAATGCAGTAATATCGATTTAGAAAATAAACGTTGACACCTGTTTAGCTGGGCAATGTCAAAGCACCAAAGTTGAATCTTCATTCGACTAAATCAATGGCTCGAGTCTTATAGGGCAAATAAGTTGAGAAGGGCCTTATAGATGACAGGTGAGCAGAGTGTCTAGTCATCCGCCTTTTCTATCGCCGGCGTTCGTTTCTGTAAACAACTATTTTGAATCCACAAAGATGTTCAGTTACGAACTGTAGTGGAAGCCGGACTAAATTGCTCATGGGGGAATATTAGCTCGACATTTGAATCCAAAATGTAAGCATTTCGTCCATGGCAGGCTACGCTTTAGGAGAAGATGCGATCGTTGAACCGAGAATTGTTCGGCCTCACGATTTGGATTCTCACTCGAACCCATAACTAGAAACGTCCTTTTGTGAGAACCTGAAACGCCAGGCCATTATACTTCTTAGGCCAGCGTTCACGTCTTTTGCAAGGACGCTTTGTTAATCATATCTTCAGAGCGATCGATTGTATTTTAAACTCTCGTGAGGCATGTACTTACAGTAGGTGGCCAAACTCATGCAATCCTACGATTTTTACAAGTAACTCTCTCTTACTCAAACGCAGCCCAAGCTGTGGCCTAACGTCTTACATGAATAAAGTTATGATCGTTCTTCACAATAGGGCATATTATGTCTTACAGCAATAAAGTTATGATCGTTCTTCACAATAAGGCATATTATGATTTTCTTACAGCAATAAAGTTATGATCGTTCTTCACAATAGGGCATATGAATGAACATAAAGTTTTATAGAGACACCAGCTTTTTTAACGAAGTGGAAAATTCCGAAAAAGTGGAAATCGGGCGTATAGAAACACCAGATTTTTTAACAAAGTGGAAAATTCCGAAAAAGTGGAAATCGGGCGTACTAGGTGCTTAAGTTTTGCATGTAGAGGAAGCCCGTTTATGCAAAACCACCGAGTAAATAAAGCAGCACA